GGCGGAGGGACCGAGGGACCGACAGGCGGACAGGGCCGGGGTCACGTGGGCCCGGCGAAGTGTCCCTAAGGCTGACCTGGGACAGCCTGGGCTGCCGGCCCTTGTCTCCGGCAACACAACAGCTCTGGGACCATCTCAGGCCCCGCTGCCCTCCCCCAGGCCACAGGCTGTCCCGTGTCCATCTTCGTCTATGATGTGAAGCCTGGCGCGGAAGAGCAGACCCAGGTGGCCAAAGCTGCTTTCAAGCGCCTCAAAACTCTACGGCATCCCAACATCCTGGCTTACATCGATGGACTGGAGGTACCCGCTGCCTTGCCTGCCCGTCTCTGCCTCTCACTATCTCCTGGTTACCCACTCCTGTCTCCCTTCCTGCCCTGTTTCCACCCTATGTGCCCCAGCACCCCCAGATTTGGTTTCCTCTTCCCCATCTCTCCTCACTTCAAGTCGCTTATCTCTCCTTCCTCTCTGCCTCTCTGCCCTTGATAACCCTGTGTCCCCTTCCCCAGACAGAAAAATGTCTCCACGTCGTGACAGAGGCTGTGACTCCGTTGGGAATATACCTCAAGGCGAGAGTGGAGGCTGGTGGCCTGAAGGAGCTGGAGATCTCCTGGGGGCTACACCAGATTGTGGTGAGGTGGGGGGCAGTGGTGATGAGAGCAGGGATGGGCGGTTGCAGGTACTGGGGCGTGATGGCTCCTTCTGCCCCCAGAAAGCCCTCAGCTTCCTGGTCAACGACTGCAGCCTCATCCACAACAATGTCTGCATGGCCGCCGTGTTCGTGGACCGAGCTGGAGAGTGGAAGCTTGGGGGCCTGGACTACATGTATTCAGCCCAGGGCAACGGTGGGGGACCTCCCCGCAAGGGGATCCCTGAGCTTGAGCAGTATGACCCCCCGGAGTTGGCTGACAGCAGTGGCAGAGTGGTCAGAGAGAAGTGGTGGGTGACTAGGGGCAGCGCGCCCCAAGCTGCCCTGTCCTGGAGGCCCCTGCAGCCTCAGGACTCCTAGACTAGTTGGTACTCCCCTGTTCCCTGCTGCCTGGCTGGGGAGGGAATCAGTGTCCCAGGAGTGAGGGACACTCCTCTGCCCCCAGGGTCCTCAGGGTGGTAGGGCAGGATGGATGCAGCCTTCGGGGTTGGGTGATTCTGAACTTGAAAGCTCTGTGACCTGGGCAGATGTGCCTACTTTTCTGAGCCTCGGTTTTTTTAATCTGTTAAGTGAGGCTAATGAAACCTGCCTCTTGGGACTGATGGCTCAGCTGAGGGACATTGCCAGGCCCTGGCATGCCGTGAGTGCCTGGTGCCCAAGGCAGGCTGGAGGCCTGTGCAGGTGGTTGGTGGGGCCCTAAGAGCTCTGGGTCACTGCCACAGGTCAGCAGACATGTGGCGCTTGGGCTGCCTCATCTGGGAAGTCTTCAATGGGCCCTTACCTCGGGCAGCAGCCCTACGCAACCCTGGGAAGGTAAGTTTCTTGCCCCTGGCTGTTTGCCCTGCCTCGGCCCCTCTGCCAGCTGGCTACCCCTGCCCTGACACTGACCCCTCCCCTACAGATCCCCAAATCACTAGTACCCCATTACTGTGAGCTGGTGGGAGCGAACCCCAAGGTGCGTCCCAACCCGGCCCGCTTCCTGCAGAACTGCCGGGCACCTGGTGGCTTCATGAGCAACCGCTTTGTAGAGACCAACCTCTTCCTGGAGGAGATTCAGGTGAGCCCCCAACTCACCCTGGGCTTCGACCCTACCTTTTTCATTCTGCCCCTACCCTGTTTTTCAGGGTATCTCACAATTGACCCTCAGGAGACAAGCATGGACTGTGGAGTTAGGCCAATCGGGGTTCAAACCCAGGCTCCAGCTCATACTCACTCTGTGACTTCACTTGGCTGAAGTTCAATCCCAATAATAGTACAGGTCGAGCATCCCTAATCCGAAAATGCATGATCTAAGTACTCCAAAACTGGAAACATTTTGACCACCAACATTACAATCCAAGGAAATGCCCATTGGAGTATTTTGCATTTTTTGGATTACAAATGTTGAATTTGGGCTGGGTGCAGTGGCTCACGCCTGTAATCCCTGTTCTTTGGGAGGCTGAGGCAGGTGAATCATCTGAGGTCGGGAATTCAAGACCAGCCTGACCACCATGGAGAAACCCCATCTCTACTAAAAATACAAAAAATCAGCTGGGCAGGTGCCTGTAATCCCAGCTACTCAGGAGGCTGAGGTAGGAGAATCACTTGAACCTAGGAGACGAAGGTTGCACTGAGCCGAGATAGCGCCACTGCACTCCAGCCTGGGCGACAGTGTGAGACTCTGTCTCAAAAAAAAATGTATATGTATATATAGAATTGGTATAATGCACATATTCCAAAATCCGAAAACATCTGAAATCTGAAACACTTCTGGTCCCAAATATTTTGGACAAGGGACACTCAACCTGTACCTACTTCAGAGGGGCCCAATGAGGAGTCAGAATTGAAAGTGCATGGTGTAGTGTTCTGCGCCCAGCAGGCATTTAGGGCCGGCTCTGGTTACTCCAGTCACTCCACATGCACATTCTGGCTCTGGTCCTCAGGGGTATAACACCCTGTGCTGGCTGCAGGGGGGTGGGCAGCTCCAGCTCAGTGTGGAGGAAGGTGAGGCAGACCTAGATCCCTGCCCTCAAGGATCTAGCAACAAGTAAACAGACTAGATCCCCACCCTTGGGAACTCTTGCTGGGGGAGAGACAGTAAACATTAAAAACCATAAATAAGAGCTGGGCGCGGTGGCTCAGGCCTGTAATCTCAGCACTTTGGGAGGTTGAGGCAGGTGGATCACCTGAGGTCAGGAGTTTGATACCAGCTGACCAACATGGAGAAACCCCATCTCTACTAAAAGTACAAAAATTAGCTGGGCATGGTGGCGCATACCTGTAATCCCAGCTACTCAGGAAGGCTGGGGCAGGAAAATCGCTTGAACCTGGGAGGTGGAGGTTGCAGTGAGCCAAGATCATGCCATTGTATTCTAGCCTGGGCAACAAGAGCGAATCTCTGTCTGGAAA